TAGTAATAATAATAATAATAATAATAATAATAATAATAATAATAATAATAAATCTTACAAAAATAACCATTTTCTCCGCCAAGATGATTGGCATTATGATCATTTCAATTAAATTTGATAAAGAGTAAAGAGTAACTAGTTAACTAAGTTTATTGTCAATTTTCACATTTATAGCAAAACTAGTCTATATATATATAGGCCTATATATATATATATTATATATACATTCAAACACTTATATTTTCGGTCCGTCTGGACCCTCTTCAGGCGTAGTCCGATCATCAGCCATGCTAAAAATAAAAGTTAAATGGTTTCATTACTAACCTTAAAGCATTACCGTACAAAAATATACGGTCAATGTTTACTTTTGCTTCTGCCTATTTCTGGAACCAACTTTCAAATTACATAACTTCTTCCAACTCTATTTGCAATTTTAAGTCACAGCTATTTGTTTTCCGGTGGCTTTTCACATGCGTTGCGCCTTTGATCTTGTTTGGAATTGGCGCCATATAAATTCGAGATTATTATTATTATTATTACTACCTGAATTCAGCACCAGCCATGCTAAAAATTAAACGGTTTCATTACTCGCCTTAAAGCATTATCTCAAATAATATAAATATTAGGTAATTCATATATAATTAAATGTTCTGACTGTCTCATCTTCAAGGTAACGAACATCCTTGCCAATAATTGAGGTCGAGACTGTATTTCAACATATCCACCCATTGAATCCTAGGGTGAATCCTGTGGGCCACCGAGAGCGGTCATAGGCCCCGGGCTTTGCTGCCCGGGCCCATTGGTTGGGGTTCTAGGGGGCGCCTAGTGCCCCAGCAGTGGCGAATCTGAGGGGGGGGGGGGTGTGGTGAATAGCCACCCCCCCCACCTTCGGTGACCTCGAAATAATATATTCACTCGTCTTGACGTGTGTATGCTTTTCATGTATGCATGTTACCATGTAGTAGCCTTCTCTCGTAAAAAATAGGCCTGTCTACACTTTCTATTTTTAATAACTTCTTTTCAGATGTAATCCAAGAGCGTCTAGCCGTGTACTAATTCTAAAAAATCTCAAAGGGAAGGGGATGCCTCTCCCTAAACCCATGATTGAGGAGGGACAGGGGGACACGTCCCCAAATATTATTAAGGGGTGGGGTTGGTCCTTCCCTTTTCGTCCGCAATGTAATAATTCAAGTCAAGTCAAGAAGATGCCTGAAAATTGTTGAAATGAACTGCATATGACCAGGTTTTAACGAAAGTGTGCGTACAACCGGTACACTATCTCTGCCCACAAACATCTGAATCAGCGTGACAACTCACAGTTGGCCCACCAATCATGGTGGGCCTGAGGTGGGTGTGGGCTCACGAAATGTCCCCCCCCCCTTTCGAAACAGATCTGCGCCCTTGTCAAAACCAGCCCCCCCCCCTTCGAAACAGATCTGCGCCTTTGTCAAAACCACGCCCCTCCCCCACCCACACCACTTTGGTGCTTCGCAAATCACATTATCCATTCCCCATTGCTAAATCCTAGATCAGCCACTGCCCAGCGGATACGAGGGAATCCCGGGGGGGGGGGGGTACGGCCCCGATGGTACTGCTTTTTAACGAATTAGAGGACTAATCGATTATAGAGTGCTTATAATTTCACGAAGTCATGAAAAATAAAGTAATATAGGTACCAATGTTTACAGTGGCGGATCCAGGAATCTTAAATAGAGGGGAGGGGGAAGGGCAGAGAAGGATCTTCACAGATGGAGGGTCTTTCTACCCAGCGGTGGCGCCAGAAATTTGCCGACAAGGGGTACAACATGTCTGACGGAGGGGTCAGAGCCAAAGGGTCGACGAAGCTTTGGTCGACGGCCAAAATCTTTGGCGCATTTGAAAAAAAACTGTTATTTTTAACTTATTTATTATCTCATAACTATTCTGCTTCCTTTGTTATCAATTAAATTTATATTAAATT